TTTTCGCCCCGTTAGCTTTAAAAAGATATACCTTACTAAACGAACGAGAGGCAGTACGAGCTCTTAACGAATAAGCATTTTTCTATAAATAAAAAGGGGAAATCCCTTAAAGTATAGTATTGCTAAATAGAACCGTTAATAATAAAAAGTTTAATAATAGATCCGAAGCTATAGCCCGTATAAAAGTACGGCCTATAGAAGAGAAAGAATTAAAGGGCCTAGGAGCTCCCTTTTTATACTCTTTAAAAAGACTAATTAATAGTACTACCTAGGTATTCTATACTAACGAACGATACGGCCTAGAAATCTTCTATAGGATTATCCCGGATATAGGAGTATTATAATAGTTAATAAAAAGTAAAGGGCAATTTTAAATACTTTAAAAGATAACCCTAATTACTTTAAATACGTTAATAGTAAGTATTATAAGAATTAGCTTTAGCCTAGGTAAAGAGATATGTACCCTGGGTATAATAGAAGTTAATATATACTTCGGTACGATAATCTTCTATATTTTATTAGTTAATATACTATTTCTATTATATTTAAAGGATATAGACTAGTTAAGTATCGTGTTTAATAATACGAGGAATAGACTATCTAATAATAAGTAATTTAAATTTATTGAACGGTAATAGGGATATACGTTTATAAAGCTCGAATTAAACGTTAAATCTATTAACTATTTATAAAGGGCGAGCTTAAGTAATTATATAAACGCTTCGGCTATTTATTGGTTACGAGGCTATATAACCTCCTAAAATAATCGAGGAACGATATTAAGATAGGAGCTTTAAAGTAATTAATAAGGGTATATTACTAATACTAAATAAACGTATAGAGCCCCCGTAAATTTAAATTTAGATTATATAATAACTTTAACTTTAACTAAGAGATCGTCGTTAATATCTTTTATTTAAATAATCGCCTAGTACTATATATTATCGATAAAGCTATATTATTTTAAAGAGGATAATTCCTTAAGGATATATAGGCTAAGACTGTTTAGTTAATGCTAAAGAGGGCGTGGATTAATATATATTAAAGACTACTAAATAGTATTAAAACTAATACCGGTACTAGCTTTAAGTCTATAGAGTTTAAAAATAATACTACTACGTATAGTATATAGCTAAAAATCGTATTTATTAAAGTATATTATAGTATTAGTAAAGTAAAAAGGGTATATTAATAGCTTAAAAAAGTATTTAAGATTATCTATAACGAGAGCCCTAATATTATAGATAAGGAGTGTTTTTAAATAGTATTTAAATATTATAACAATACTATAGGCTTAAAAGGGCTAGTTCCGATACTTTTTATATTTAAAATATATTTATAAATAACGATGGCCTCGCTACCGTTACTAAACGTAGCCTAGTAAGCCTAGATAATCGATAAAGTAATAAAGGTACTCCGGGAAGTAAATATAAAGAAGTAGATTAATAAGGCCGTTGCTGCCTATAATAGGCCGGATATAAGCCCTAACCTTGATATATTATTAAATTTAGAAATAAAGGTATAAAAGGAAACTATTAAATAGTAGTCTAGACTATATAAAGTAATCTCGGTTAACGAACGGTTATATATCGTTATTAGAAATCGGGACTAATTACTAAAAGTATTAATTATAGCGATATAACCGTATTATATTAATATTAGTAAAGAGATTTCTATTTAATAAAAAGAAAAAGAGCTAGGGGAATCCCCTTAGTTATTTAACGATAAATAAAAAATTATTTTTAATGAAATCGTTATAATAAAATAAATAGACGATAAAGGCGAGGGTAAAGTAATCCCTTTACCGCTAAAAAGACGCTTAAAAAGACTTTAATAAAGGGCGCTATTACGGTAATTCGTTATTAATATTAAAATAAATACTATATTTTATATAGTTAAAAAAAAGGCCGATTTTATATTTGTAGTCTAGCTATAAAAGGAGGGCGTAATTATAATAACTAGAAAGCCCTATAAAGGATTAGATTTTATCGAGATAGATATATTATATAATCGAGGGGTTTATTAATTTATCTTTTATAATTTAATTAAATATATAAATATTTATATTTTTAAATTGTGTATAGTTCGAAAAATAAAAAGGAAAGGTATTCCTTAGCTATATAAGAAATCGAGGTATATTATATAAAAGTATAGCGACGTTAAAAAAGCGACGCTATTTACTTAATCGTTTATAGTTTAACGCTATAGTTAGTATTTTATAATAGTATTTATAGTATCGCTACGGTAAAAAGGATACGAGATATAGAGTCGTAATATTATATAAATATATATATAATTAGCGACTAGGTTTATAAAAAAGATCTTAGCTTACTTTTTAAAGGAAATAATTAGTAAGTACCTAAAGAGTATTATTATCGAAATATTTAAGCCGTTATATAGTCTCGCCGAATCGGGTACTTATTAATAAATAATATACTACGACTTCTATATTAACTAATTATTAATAATTACGTTAACTTACGACCTTTACCTCTTAATATTTAAATACGTAGATAATTTATTTAGTATCGTTAGAATATAAATAGATAATACCCTAGGTCTATTAAATATCGAGTTTATAAAAAAGGAGGACGAGGAGCTCTAAAAGGCTAAATTCGTAACTAAACTAAAAAAGATCTTTATAATAAGCGTATTACTTACGTTTAATAAAGGGATCTTAACTATTAAGGGGGATAATATAGTATTCTAATAAAAGGGGTAAAGTAAGAAGATTAGCTTTATTAATTTAGAATCCCTTAACTATAAGAAATAATATAAAGCTAAGCTCGCTTAAAGAGCCTATATTATAAGTATTTATTAGCCCGAGGCTATTTTTAATTACGCTAGAGCTATATAAGCTATAGAGCCTATAGAGCGCGATTTTAACGTTTTTAATTAATAACTTTAATAATAACGAGATAACTATAACCGAGGTCTTATTTATTAGCCTATTAAGCTCGCTTTAACGAAGCTATACGTATTTATTAACGGATTATTTATAAATAATAACGACTTAACTTTATAGTTAGGATATATTATTATCCTCGTTAATAAGACCCTCGGTAAGGATAACTTTACGATTTAAAGTAACGTAATTTACTATTTATTAATAAAAAATAAGCGAGTTATTAAAAACGTATTAACGTTTAAAGTCTATAGAATAGTAAATAGAGTAAATATCGCCTACGTAATTTCTACTATACTTAAAAGGATTATAAATAAACTTAACTTTTTTATAATCCCTATAATCGTCTATACCGATTCGTATTTACTATATAAATACCTCGTTAAGTTAGGTATTATAAAAGAAAAGAGGTTTATAATCGATATTATAACCCTTAAATAGTTGTATAAATAATAAAAGATCTTCGAAATCCGTTAAATTAACGGGGACGATAATTTAGTTAATACTTTTATAAAAGCTATACTTAATAAAGGGCTAGAGCAATTCGTTAACGAAAGAAAAATAATAATATGAATAAAAAAATAGGTAACCTGTAAGGAGTAAAAAAAGGAAGAAAAAAGGGTATATTTAACGGGCTAGTTAAAGGTCGAATTATATTTTTAATTGCCGTTATTAAACGATAAAAGAAAGAGAAAGTTAATATTAGATTAAAAGTCTAATTCGACCTCGTAGTAACGTAGGGGCTACCTATTAATTATATAGTTAATTATCGCGGCCTACCTAATTTATAATTAGAATCTCCTTTTTATACCTACGTAGTAGATTAATATAGTTAATTAACCTACTTCGTTAACCTACGGTTTGAACTAATCGACCAATATCCCTGTGATAGGGATACTAACAGTTACAACATCCGAGATGAAAAAGTCGTCATGAACCTGTCAGCTTTCTCAGCCAATTCAAATAATTCTTATACGGCACAGTACATTTGAGTTGTACGACAGGGCATAACTCTGAACCTTCTCGGCATATTCTGGAGTCGTTAGATCCGGCTCATTGTATCCCCATCCCCTGTCCATTCTAAGTGGACCATTCGCCCGATCCCAGCTTGGGTTCTGCTTGCGCAAGACGGCAAAGCCTACGCGTCTGAATTCTGATCCTTCTGACATGCGCTTGAGCACCAGACAGCCCCTGTCTGACTCTGATTCCGAAAGTGTCTCCACGATTGGCGCGCAAAACACTTCATCTTCAACTTGCAGACCGTCATCATCCAAGCTGCAGTCAGCTAGACATACTTGAACATCTGTGCCGTCTTCGACATAATCCAGTGTCCAAGCTACATGGCCAGCCGTGCTAAAGCTGTTATTCCCTTGAGGCTTGATGCCGATCCTCGCAGAAATGAGCATCACACCGAGGTCGACGAAACCCCCTATCACCTCACCAAACGGACCATCCGTCATCGGCTGACAAGAGGCTTCGTATACGGTGCATACCGGCCGCGGTGTAGCGCCGTCTCCGTACATGAGAGGGTTCGTAGAAAGCGATACTCTTGGCCACCAGAAGCGGCACTGGGCGTCGTTGACAATATCAAGCGAAGCCCAGGACCAGGAGGGAGCACGGGCTGCTAGAGGTCTTCAACCTATCCCAAGCTTAATCGGGTACGTGCCGGCTTTTGCAGTGTTGAACCACAACAGGCAATGAGGAAGAGACGCTTTCCACAAACCCGCCAGATAAGTATCGCGCGTCAGTTGGCGATACAGCTGTGCTAGCCCGGAGAGAGCAGGTAATTTGTCCTCATCCTTTGCTAAATGCCTCATTGTGTATTGTCGGAGTATGCCGGCCCACCACTCCTCAGCCTCTGCAGCATTCTGAGGTGGCAATGCACGTCGAGCTAACTCCTCGCGCCAATGAGCCGCCCCCGTATTATGCCGACATTCACAGACGTAGGTTTGGTTGCACTTCCAGGAAATGTCGAACGGCCCGAATTCAATAACTCTACAAGGGAGCAAATATTCCTGGAACGTCCAGCCTCTTGTCTCCAGATCTGTGGGCGGTGTAAAATGCGAAGTCGTTTCTCTGATGCGCAGGATCGATTCGTTGCCACTGACATCACTGACCTTGATTTGATGACTTTCGTATCGCCTGGACGAGAAAATACCACTAGCCATACTTGTTGAGACGCTCGCATAGATGGTAAAGTAGGAGTTCCGGTAAATGCGTGCCATGGCTGAGTTCTCAGCTGCGAAATCCGCGCCCGTTATTCGCTTTTGCTTGTCCGACATTTCAGGAAAGCCTTGCAAGATGCATAACGTATCGATCCACAGATAGTCCACACTTAAACGTCGACAGATAGTGATAGCATCTTGAAATGTCTTGGGGATTTCCTCCCACTTGATTCCTTCCATACGGCTGTGGATGGTTTCTGTCGTGCTTATCAATCGTGAAAACTTTGCGTCGCCCCAGCGGTGACTTAGACAGACGTATGGCCCCTGAAAATCATTGGTCTTGGTAGTCTCGATGAGACGAACTTGGTCATCCCGAAGATCAAGAAGCCTGCGTGGGTAAAACAGGTCGCGATTCTTTCCACAGTCGTGATGGTCCAGACATTGTCGAAGCCATTGTCGTGCCCTCGCAAAGCTCCTAATAGAGTCTGTAGACGGTCCATACTGCGTCTCTTTGGGAAAGCCAACCTCCTCATCTCCATTACTTGAGACTCTGAAAACAGATTGTTCTTCGGGGGCTATAAAGAGAGAGACTCGGACATAGGCTCCTTTGACGAGCAGATCCATGCTCTCCTCGGTATTGGCTGTTGTAAGGCCAATGCTTCCTACCACAAGTTCGTCAAGAATCTGATCTCTTTCAGTCTCGTTCCGTGCTCCCTGGAATAATGCCGGCAGACGCCCATCAATAACCGCCTCAACCACAATTTTGTACACGCCGCAGAGGCCGCACAAGTTCATGGCAGCATGCCGGATCTGTGCGTATGTAAGCTCCCTATGCCATCCACGCCGTTTCTCACAAGCACACAAGAGATCCCATCCCGTCACACCTGGTGGTGGCTCATCGTCCGTGACTTTGTAATAGGACATCATCCGCGTAATGCAGTTTCACTTTGGACTCTGGACGCTCGAAAAGATTCAGATGATGTGGTATTGACCGTGTCGACTGAGAGCACTCGGCATGATCCTGATGACTTGTCGGAGGCAGAAATAAAGGTGACCGTCTGCTTGGTCGAAATCTGCCCAACTGCCTAGCTGAAAAGAGGGGTTTGGAAAGTCAACACAGCGCGTTTACCGCGCCCGACGACCTATGTCGCTATGCCCACAGTCATAGCTATTATCATGGAGGTTCATTGGCCCGAACCAGCATCCTTGCAGGGGATATCACGAAGAGACCAAATCTCAACCCGTAAGTCCCGTTGAAATGTTCAAATCACATTTAATTTGAGACCGTGTTATTGCTGCATGGTGCGTACAAATTTAAGTGCAGTATGTAGTTGGGACATTTTGTGTAATGTAAGCAAGATTTTCATCGTCGTCTGAATTGGGGCTTGTAGGTGTTCAGTTGCAGTGATCTAGCGGCGTGGATATCGGCTTCACCTAGTATTGGAGAAGGGGATATAGCCGATATAACCGACAGCGCTCAACCTTCGGCTATTTGCTCCCCCAAAGACAGCCACAGCATTGCTAGCTTGCCTTTGTCTGGATGACGTACCTGATTGCCGCCGGCCATATCTCCCATACCAGCAGTCAATTGTTGTGATCTACCTACCGTCTTGATCAGTTCAGAATCGAGTCAATGATCATTCGATATTGAACTTGATGCATCCATCTGCATTTTTATCACACCATGGCAACTCGGACTCTGACAGCAAAGTTGTGGCGTCTCAATGCAAATGTCGGTACTCCGCCTTCACATAATAACACAGATCGCTAATTTCTCCTTAGTTGGTATCGAAGCAACAACTTCGACGGCTCACGCTACATGAATATCAATCGCAGAACCTTTTGAAGGAGGTAAGGTTTTCTCTTCTGTAGCGACGAGAGACTAGGATGGGATGGGTCGCTCATACTTTTCGATCAGTTCGGCATCCCAGTACCCCGAGGACACCTCGCAAGAACACCAGCCGAAGCTGCGGTGATTGTCAAAGAGCTTGGTAATTCTGTTTTCTTCTAGACTGCCGATTTAAGATGTACTAACACACTTAGGCGGAACCTGTTCTCTCAAATCACAGATATTAAGGGGTGACATTGATGACGGTACGTTTGACAACGGTTCAGGGGCCGGCATTCAACTGGTCAACGATGCAGAAAGCGCCGAGAAAACTGCCAATCGCATGCTTGGTCACTATTTGAAGACGGATCAATCCTTAGGTAACGGTGTATTGGTCAACAAGCTTCATGTTACGGAAAGCCTGAATTCCGAGAGAAAATGGTACTTGGCGATCACATTTGATCGAGAGAACTATTGTCCAACGATCGTTGCATCTAAATTTGGCGGAGTCGCCATCGAAAAGATAGCAGCTCAGCATCCAGATGAAATCCATACATTCCAATTCGGGTTCACGGAGGGCATCACACCTGGAATCGCCGACAAGGTCTCGAGGTGTCTCGGAGCTTCAGCGAAAGAGAAGGAAGACCTGAATGACATTCTCGGCAGGCTTTATAAGATTTTTACAACCAAGGACGCCTATTCAATTGAGGTCAAGACTCTGGTAAGCTCATCAGAAGGAGGTCTGACTTGCATGGACGCCAAGTTCTCATTTGATGATGCCGCGGCCAAGCGGCAAAAGACACTCTTTGCAGAGCGAGACACAGAGCACGAGATTCCAGAAGAAGTCGAGGCTGAGAAATATGGGCTGGTCTATGTTCGCATGGACGGCGACATTGGCAATGTGGTGAATGGAGCAGGTCTCGCGATGGCGACCAACGATGCGATTGCTCTGCACGGTGGCGCCAGTGCCAACTTTCTTGATGCCGGGGGGCAAGCGACGAAGGAGACCATGGTCAAGGCATTTGAGATTATCCTGCGGGATCAGAGGGTGAAGACAATATTTGTCAACATCTATGGTGGTAAGTTCGCCATACAGCTAATGAAGGAGACTTGGGGTTTAGTTCTCTGGCTAATAAACTTTACGCAGGAATTACTAGAGGCGACATGATCGCAGAATCCATTCTTGGGGCAGCCAAAGAGCTGGGCCCGCTCAGTGTTCCCATGGTGGTTCGACTTCAAGGCACCAATTCTGAGCTGGGACTGAAAATCGTAAGTTTTTCCCAGACTATTCAGGGGGGGTTCTTCGCATTGAGCATGCTGACTGGAACACACAGCTGGAGGAAGCGAATCTTGGATTGCATACCGAAGCAGATTTTGGGAAAGCAGCGCAAAAGGCAGTAGAGCTGGCTCGGGGATCAGGCCCGGCGTCATTGAATTCGTAGTTGACTTTGGATATCTGTAGCAGCTTACGATGGCTGTCATCAGCCAATAGAGTCTCGACATTTTCGCCGAAATGTGTTGCTCAGGCAGCGGCCCTTGCATCTTGAGACGCCCCAAGCTCACACATTCAAGTGTTGGTTCATGGCCCCTGAATGTTATTGATCTGTATCCAAACCAAATTCGACTTCTACTGTAGTATTGATCAGAGGATTGGGGAATTTTCGATATTTGATTGTGTGAAGAATCATTCGACGTTGTTGGGTTGAGCGCTGTCGAGAAGCTCCGAAACGCGCTACGTGGCACTAGCACGATCTACCGCGTGGCGTCTCTGCGCACGTCCCGACGCGATGGATCTCGAGCTAGATTCGACGTCCATCACCGTTGCGAGGGAGGCGGTGGCAGCGAGCGACGAGGACCTGCCATCACGAAGGGTGCGAAAGCCATCCGCGAAAGCCCAACTGAACCAGACTCATCAAGAGATAATCGACAATGCGACCGACGGAGCGACGGAGGTTGCTGGTGGTGGCCGGCGGACGACGACCAAGCGAGCCACAACCCTGGCCAAGGAACGCGCGAAACCCATAGAGGATGACGACAAAGGGCTGCTCCTGACGATGGGCAAGCAGGTCAAAGAGCTACACACAGCGGTCAAGATCATGTTCGATGCGTGGAAGAAGTCGGAAGCACGGAATAAAAACGTTGAGGCAGAGCTTCGCGTGGTCACTTCGGAGCTGCAAACAGTCAAGAGCGAGCTACAGGCCGTCAAAGGAGAGCTGCAAGCGATGAAAGAACGCGTGGAGGACGAAAGCGCCAAGACGAACGAAAACCTCGAAGCACTCGCAACAGTTGCTGCGACGCGGAACAGCCCAAGTGTGTCCTACGCGGACGTCGCGCGAAGCGGCTTAGGTGGGCAAGGTCGCGACTCGCGGGTAGCCACGGCGGGCAACGCGACGCTGCCGAGCCGCAGCGACCCCTTCTGTACGATCGATACATCAAGAGTTGAAGAAGGCAGCGACAAGCTCAACCCAGGCCGGATCCGGGCTGCGGTGGAAAAGGAGATGCGCGCGTTGGACGGACAGGGTAGCTGGCGGTGTCTGGCCGTCACGGTAGACCCAAGGAACGCGGATAGGATCCGGATCATTTGTCGCGACGATGCGGAGCATAGGTATGTCAAGCAGATCGCGGAGAAGAGCTTCGGCCGTGGAGCACGCGTGCTACGAGACGAACTCTATCCCGTGAAGATCGACAACGTGAAGCGAATTGAGGTACTGGATGAGAAGGGCAATGTCAGGGCTGAAGCGGCGGAGGCACTTAGCCGAGAAAACGAGACCACGGTTGCCAAGATTTCTTGGCTTAGCAAGAAAGAGATACCCAAGGCGTATGGGTCCATGGTCGTGTTCGTGACCAAGGCCGGTGATGCGCGTAGACTGATCTCCGAGGGCTTCTTCCACGTTGGAGGAGAGTCCGGCACGACGATGGCGTTTGAACGGCGGCCGCGCCCCCAGCAGTGCTACAACTGCCAGCAGATCACGAAGCACAAGGCGTACCAGTGCGTAAACCCCCGGGTGTGTGGACGATGCGCCAAGGTAGGCCACCACCACTCTGAATGCCGTGAGACGATCGTGACATGTGTGCCCTGTGGCGGACCGCACGAGTCGTTCAGCAAGAACTGTCCGAAGCTGTATCCGCGTTCCCATGAGTAGGAAGGTCCAGATCCTTCAGCTCAACGTGAGGAAACAGGCTGCAGTGCACGAAAGTCTGATGAATGATGAGGCGTTGCGCGACTTCACGGCCATAGCGGTGCAGGAGCCATGGGCGCGGAGGATAGAAGGTAAGGTCATTACGGTTCCGATGGGCAATAGCAGGTGGACGAGGATGGTACCAACGGAGTGGAGGGACGAAGGAAGATGGGGAATCAGGAGTTTGCTTTGGGTGAACAGAGACGTAGAGACAGAGCAGCTGCCGATAGCGTCCTCGGATATCACTGCGGCCATCGTCCGGCTTCCGGATCGAAGACTGATAGTGGCGTCGGTGTACGTGCCGGTGCAGAGGCCGGAGATGCTGCGGCAGGCGTGCGACCTGCTGAGACAAGCTATCACGAATGTCCGAGGAGGAACAGGGGAGAGGGTGGACGTGGTTCTGGTAGGAGACTTCAACTGCCACGACTACCTGTGGGGAGGTGACGATGTGTCGGAGGGCCGGCAGGGCGAGGCGGACCCGATCATCGATCTAATGAGCGAGTACTCGCTCCGCAGCCTCCTTCCGCGTGGCACGAAGACGTGGGAGAAGAACGATGCGGCAACGACGATCGACCTATCCCTCGCGTCCGAAGAGCTAGCAAGAACGGTGGTACGATGCGGCCTGCACGAGACGGACCACGGGTCGGACCACCGGGCGATCGAGACGACCTTCGACATCGCCGCGCCTGAGATGGAAAGCCGGCCACGGCTCCTCCTCAAGAACGCCCCATGGAAGCAAATCAATGAGAGAGTAGAAGCAAACCTAGGGCGAATGCCAACAGGAGGTA